TATGCCTATGTAGTTGTGGATGACTACTTCAGATACACCTGGATAAGCTTCATCAGAGAAAAATCAGATGTTTTTGAAGTCTTTAAGGAGCTGTGCATCAGACTTCAAAGAGAAAAGGAATATGGTGTAGTTAGGATGAAAAGTGATCATGGTAAGGAGTTTGAAAACTCCAAGTTTGCTGAGTTCTGCTTATCTGAAGGGATCAGTCATGAGTTTTCCTCTCCTATTACTCCTCAGCAAAATGGAGTAGTGGAGAAGAAAAACAGGACTATCCAAAAGTCTGCCAGAGCCATGCTACATGCAAAGAAGTTACCTATGCATTTTAGGGCAGAGGTTATGAACACAGCTTGCTATGTTCACAACAGAGTGACCTTGAGAAAAGGAACATCAACTACCCTGTATGAGATGTGGAAAGGAAGGAAACCAATTGTGAAGTACTTTCATGTGTTTGGGAGCAAGTGTTACATCTTGACAGATCGTGAACAAAGGAGGAAAATGGATCCCAAGAGTGATGAAGGCATCTTTCTGGGATACTCTACCAACAACAGAGCTTATAGAGTGTATAACTCCAGAACAAAAGTATTGATGGAATCCATTAATGTTATCATTGATGATCAGTATGAAGAAATCAATGTCATAGAGGATGTTAGAACACTGCTTGAGACATCAGCTGATGGTATAGTGATTACTGAAGATACTCAAGCCGTAACTCCAAGTTATGAACTAGAAACCACTATCAGAGAACCTTCTATCAGAATCCTGAAAGATCATCCCAAAGATCTTATCATTGGAGACCTCAACAGTGGGGTAAGGACCAGAGCTAGAGAAGTAGTCTCAAATTCATGTTTTGTGTCTAAGATTGAACCCAAAAATGTGAAGGAAGCCTTAACTGATGAATACTGGATCAAGGCCATGCAAGATGAATTGAACAGTTTAAAAGACATGAGGTATGGGAACTGGTGCCAAGACCTGAAGGAACAAACATCATTGGCACCAAATGGATTTACAAGAACAAATCAGATGAACAAGGTACTATAGTCAGAAACAAGGCTAGACTAGTGGCACAGGGGTACACTCAAGTAGAAGGAATTGATTTTGATGAAACCTTTGCACTAGTTGCAAGACTTGAGTCCATCAGGCTACTGTTAGGAATTGCCTGCATCCTAAAATTCAAATTGTTCCAAATGGATGTGAAAAGTGCATTTCTGAATGGATATCTAAATGAGGAAGTATATGTGGCACAACTCAAGGGATTTGAGGATCCTAACTTGATAGACCATGTATACAAGTTAAGAAAGGCACTTTATGGATTGAAGCAGGCACCTAGGGCTTGGTATGAAAGATTGATTGAGTTTCTTATTACCCATGGATACAGGAAAGAAGGAATAGACAAGACTCTCTTTGTGAAAAATGAGGATGGAAAACTCATGATTGCACAAATATATATGAATGACATAGTCTTTGGTGGAATGTCTGAGAAATTGGTTAAACAATTTGTCTATCAGATGCAATCTGAGTTTGAGATGAGTTTATGTGGAGAACTAACTTACTTTCTTGGGCTGCAAGTCAAGCAAATGGAGGGATCTATATTTCTCTCCCAAAGTAAGTATACCAAAAGCATAGTCAAAAAATTTGGATTGGATAAGGCTGGTCACAAAAGAACACCTGCACCTACTCATCTAAAGTTGTCAAAAGATGAAAGTGGTACTAGTGTGGATCAAAGCCTGTATAGAAGCATGATTGGAAGCTTGTTATATCTAACAGCCAATAGACCTGATATTGCATTTGCAATTGATGTTTGTGCCAGATATCAAGCAAACCCTAAGGTAAGTCACATAAATCAAGTTAAAAGGATTCTCAAGTATGTGAATGGAACCAGTGATTATGGTATACTGTACACACATGGGTGTGATCCTACATTGTTTGGATATTGTGATGCTGACTGGGCTGGAAGTGCTGATGATAGAAAAAGCACCTCTGGTGGATGCTTCTTCTTGGGGAATCATCTCATATCATGGTTTATCAAAAAGTAAAATTGTGTCTCATTGTCCACTGCAGAAGCTGAATACATAGCAACTGGAAGTAGCTGCTCTCAGCTGGTCTGGATGAAGCAAATGCTGACATAATACAATGTCACGCAGGATGTCATGACGCTATATTGTGACAATCTTAGTGCTATCAATATCTCCAAGAACCCAATTCAGCATAGCAGAACTAAGCACATTGATATAAGACATCACTACATAAGAGACCTAGTGGAAGATAAAGTGGTCTTCTTGGAACATGTGCCCACAAAAGTACAGCTGGCTGACATTTTTACAAAGGCCCTTGATGCTGCTTAGTTTGAGAATTTAAGAGGAAAATTGGGTATCTGCATAAATGAAGACTCATAGCAATTAATAGCACATGAGAGTTTTAAAAACTTAGTGCAGTTCACGACCTTGACCACAAAGCTCTCCTCTCCACGCAAACGTGCTACATCTCTACATATACTTGTTTTTGTTGCCTCCTCTTCTCTATAGAATTCTCAATCCGCACCAAGATGCCGTCCTATCATAATGCCTCCTCCTCCAAGACCCCTCCCCAATCCTCAAAAGATGCCCCTCCTACTGCTGAAGCACCCAAGCGCAAGTATCCTCCTCCCACTGCTGAAGAACATAGGCGCATCAGCAACAGGGAAGGCACAACTTACATGGAGAAATCAAATAGGAAAATTGTCGATGATATACTCAAAAGAGGGCTGCTAATTCGAGGTATCACCATTCCCCTGGCTCGCAGGGATCCACCTCACAATTCTGAGATGCCAGAGGACGATCCTGATGACATCAATAAGGACATTTCACTGTCAGATTCAGATGACAGTAATTCTAGCTCCTCTGAGGAAGATGATTGATGTGTGTTGTGGCCACTAAGTTAGTGCAGGAAGAGGTGTGTCGCACCTCGAAAAATTCCATTTCGAACATACGACCCTCGCGCGAAAGGCGCGGAAATGCGGTTCGACAGAGTCGCCACCGAACTTTATTTTTCCCGAATGAACGAGAGAGGAAAATATCGAGAAAACCTCAAAAACGCGGAAGGAACACGGCCGTCGCAACCATATTCCTGGGTTCGGGAGTCGGTTACGTGAGGGGAAGGTATTAGCACCCCTCACGTCCGTCGTACTCGACGGAAACCTCTTAATTCGAGTTAATGGATGTTAGCTAAACTTAATTCTTCTCTTCTCACTAATAAAGGCTGAAGGGTACTATAAAGGGAATAAAGACGCTAGGGGAAAGGGCGTAGTAAGCGACGAAATGCTTCGGAGAGTTGAAAAGAAGCATAAATCCGAGGATTCCCGAATAGGTCAACCTTTCGAACTGCTGCTGAATTCACGAGCAGGCAAGAGACAACCTGGCGAACTGAAACATCTTAGTAGCCAGAGGAAAAGAAAGCAAAAGCGATTCCCGTAGTAGCGGCGAGCGAAATGGGAGCGACCCCATCGTCTCCACCCCGTAGGAACTACGAGATCACCCCAAGGACGCCTTTGGCATCCAGGGGTCGCGGACCGACCATAGAACCCTGTTCAAACGGAGAACACATTAGTTAGTTCTCTGTTCTCAGGTTGAACAGTGAAGGGTAGGAGAAGTGCAATTACTCATTCTTAACTTAAAACCTACATTCTTAAGAGCAAAGAGTCGGGCGGAAATAGGGGGGGGGGAGAAACTTTTCGTTCTCGGATCTCCTGTAGCTGGATCTTCCGGAACCAAAAGAATCCTTGTTTGAATAAGATTCCAACTCAGCACCCTTTGCTATTTTGAGAAAAGTTGCTCTTTGGAGAGCACAGTACGATGAAAGTTGTAAGCTGTGTTCGGAGGGTTATTGTCTATCGTTGGCCTTTATGGTAGAATCAGTTGGGGCTTGAGAGGCGGTGATTTACCCTGTGGCGGATGTCAGCGGTTCGAGTCCGCTTATCTCCAACTCGTTAATTTATATGATATCAAACTATATGATAGCATTCATCGCACTCCATTTTTCCGATTCGGTAGTTTGGTTTTCGCTATGTTATGATTTATCATTTATGGACGTTGATAAGATACTTCCATCTAGCAGCATCTTAGGACGACATAGAGTCGAAGTGAAGGGCGAGGTTCAAACGAGGAATATATATATATATATATATATATATATATATATATATATATATATATATATATATATATATATATATATATATATATATATATATATATATATATATATATATATATATATATATATATATATATATATATATATATATATATATATATATAAAAGGAGGACGGAGTAGTCAACTATAAATTACAATCATGTTAGATTTCTCAAAATTTTAAATTGAGAAATACAAATTCTTTTGGTGAATGCGATAGTTAATGCATACGTTGTACTATAGTTGCAGTTGAACACTGTCAGGAGTTAATGCTTTTCCTTAAATATTGCCGTTGAATTTTTCATATATAATCAATGACCATGTGCCTCTCATTAAGTTTCCATTTTCTTTATTCGCTGTTATACATTTTCTTCACTAATCATTTACAACAAATCAATGTTTTTTCATCATTAATATTAACATAATATCTTCTAGTCTAGAGACAAACATTCAAAACAGTTCTATAAAAATTAGCATAATCTTTTAAAATTCTTTTATTAACATTTCATAAATGTATTGATTTTCTTCAAATATATAAGCAATAATTAAATATTTTTTCAAATAAATGATACTAATATACCTCAACCATACAACATATATTTGCTTTAAAACATAGATAGCATATATGAATATATATATATTATATACTAAAATTTCATAGGCACACTTGATACATCATTACATATATGTTGCATTTGTCAATAGCTCCATATATGATACAAACACCATTACATCTATAATTATAACAATTATATAATAATTATACATAACAAATTAAACAAGACTATATAAAAGTCTATTGCTCTAATTCATCACTTGAACACATGATTAATTAAGGTATTCCAATGATAGGAACAACAGGCATGTAATAGCTACTTGGTGCCAAACCCCATTCTGGAGGAAGAGGAAGATTAAAAGTTTTGGATGAACCAATAGTTTTTGCAGCATTACAATTTGTGTTTTTAGGGCATGATATCATGAAACTAAGAGGAGTAGAAATGGTGTAGCTGTTTTCTTCTTTTCCTTTGGTAATTTGTGAAACTTGGTTTTGTTTTTTGGTGTAAAGCTGAGTTGGTCCACCAAGAAGTTTTGCCAAACAGTTCATGGAAGTTTTTGTATGGCGTGAGGGAAGGTTAGCCTTGAAGGAGCCATCTTTTTCTGTTGCTGTCATAGCTAGGGTTCTGATACCTTCACACTTCACTAAGACCTTAATATCTGAAAATCATAGAAAATGTACAAGAGTCAAGGTAAAAGATTTATATAATATATGTACAAAATCGTCTTTGAGGACGTGCAAGATAGATTATCGCACAGGATAAATTTTTGTCACGTTTAAACCAGAAAAATTATGACATAGTGTGCTAGTTTGCACAAACCTGATAGGTCGTAGTTGTGAGTGCAGTCAACACAAGAGACTTTGCCCTTTACCATTTGGCATGCTGATAGGTCAATTCTAGCAAGAGCTAATGCAAAGACAAGAGCTGTGATAACATGAAAATAAGCCATGATGAGTAAAGTAGGAAAAAGCTGAAGAACAAAGAAATTGAAGAAAAGATGATAAGTGTGGATCTTATAAATAGACAACAGCAATAGACTGAATATGAGTATATTAAATATAGGGGCCCTTTGCATAATTTAGTTGTTGGTGTTATCAGATTGCAATAAAGATACCTTCAATAGAGATTACTATTATCATGCAGTGTGTGAGGGCTCACATTAATTGTTTGATAGGTTTCATTACTTCTGTAGGCATTTACAGATGATATACTATAGGCTTAGGAAAATTTCAACCGTTATTGTTATATTGGTAGAAAGTTGAATGTAGGATAGGAAAATATGAGATATATACATATGTTTAGGAAATTTAAACCATTGTTATTTTGGAAGATATTTTGAATGTATGGTGTTGATAGGAGAAGAAAAACAAATACTACTTTCTCTATTTTTATATACATGGTTTTAAGGTTGTTTTTTATAATAATGATATCTCGTTATTACGTAAATTTTATGAGAAAATTTGGACGAATTTAAAAGAATATTGACCAAAAACAAAGCTAAAGTGTGAAAAAAAAAGGAAAAATTTAAGATAAGGAAGAAATAAACACTTAATAAAATTTGTGATGAAAAAAAAAGTATGTGATTTGTCTCAAGAATTCTCGCGTTCGCAATGCATCCCATCATGGCACGATGAGACTTGCATCATGCCGCGATACTAATTTGTCACAGCGCAATGGTTGACTTTTTTGGGTGATATACAATTTTCTATTCAAAAACACTTTTGGTCACTTTTTCGAAGTTTCTAAATCATAGAGAGAAAGTGATGGCTAGGGACACTCAAGAGGCGATTTTGTAGTATATTGGAGTTATTGGAGAGTAATTTTTTCATAAATTTTGATGATTAATACTTCTTCACTTATAGTATTTGTTAATCTATTAATGAGTAGTTTAGTTTCTCTAGATTATGTCTTTTTGAGATAAACCTTATTTTACTTTGTTGGATTATATGTCTGTTTGAAATTTATTAAATATTTTTAATGTTATTATCTTATTTAAATTGTTTTTGTGTTTAATATTTTTTTTGTCGTTTACGGGCGTTCAAATCAATCTAGATACGTAGGGATTTTTACCGTTAGTATATTTATTTGATCTAGACAATTTATTCAACTTTGTAATTAACTAGAGATAGATTATTAAAAGTTCTTGCTTATGAATTAACGCACTTAAAATACCTAATTTAACTTAGAATTAGCCTAATGAATTAGAGAATTATCGTTAAATTAGTGAGTTTGTACACTAAGAAATTGGGTGCAATGGTATTGTTAATTTGCAATGAGAAAATAATTGAGTTGAAACTCAATAAGCACATAGTTCATCAATAGATGAAAATGAAGGGATTGAATAATAAAAACCTAATCGTCTTTCTCATCTTAAATTTCATCCTTTTAATTTTCTCGTTTTATAACCACTTTTTAACAAAAACCGCCAATTTAATTACTTAAATACGCACATAATTCTCTTTTTCACTTACAATTCTCATGGAGACGATCTTTTTATTATTAATTCGTGGTTACTATTAGAAATAATTATTCTACTTCTCTGATGCAAAATAATAAGTTTGGAGTTGGTCTTAGAAATTAGTAACAAATAAGTTTCAGGTGGGGGGTATTAGAGAAATTGGTCAAAAAGTTAAAAAAAAAAAAAAAAGAGAGAGAGAGAGAGAGAAAAAGAAAGTAGGCTTAAATGCACTTTTGGTTCTCATAGTTTGGACGTTTTAAACAATTGGTCCCCCTATTACAAAACCAACGATTTTGGTCCCTTAATTTAAATTGTCTTTGGATTTTTATAGTCTCCCTCCAATTTTACATAAGTGGCATTAATAATTAAGATAAAAAATTATTTTTAATTAAGTGGCAAGGATGACTAAGATATTTTAATATTTATTAATATTTTTAATTATGTGAAAATGCTGAATTAGAGAATTTATTAATTAATATCTTTTTGAATAAATTAATAATTCATAATTAAGTCTATAATATAAGAAATCTATGTGTTCTGGAAATTACCAAAATACCTTTATTTTTACTGCCGCCATGTCAGCAAATATTGGGTATTTTGAGTCAAATTCTAACTATTTTCAACCATGATTGTGGTTTGATCTCATTGCAAAACTACACTATTACTACTACTTAGGGCAAAATATTGGCATTTGGTCATGAATAATGTCAAAATTTAAAGACATCATTTCTTTCTCCCAAAATCTTCTTTTTCTAGTTTTATTAATTCCATCTTTCATCTTTCACATCACTAACTTTCTTTCTTACTTTTTCACTCTCTTTTTTAACCTTCTCTTTCTAATATCTCTCTTATTTATCTTTCTTCTTCTTTTCTAATTTGCAATTTCCTCTCTCATTTCTCTTTCTTCTTCATTTCTCTCTATGCTCTTCTTCATCTCTTTCTTCTTCTTTCTTCACCGAAACTGCATTTAGGGTTCATCACAAATGGAGGTAATGAAAAGAGAATAATTTGTGGTTAGGATTTTTAAAATAGAAATTAAGTTTGTTGATTTTGAGTGATGATATATGATTTTTTTGGATATTGTGATGGATTTATTGAGTTTTTAATGTTGTTCATTTTATTTTTTTTTTCAGGTTGTACATCTAGCCATATCTAAGGAAGACCTACACAGATCTCCTATTTGTAACTTCTCAATCTCTTGATTCCAATTATTATATTTTTCTTAATCAATTTTTTCCTCTTGATGAACATGTGAATGATTATTATATTTACTACGTTTTGAATATTTAGCATTGTTGTTGTTATTGTTTCGTTTCATTTCAGATATCAAAGTTCAACCAAGTAAAAATCAATTTGTTCTATCTAAAATGTATTTTTTCATCCAATTAATATTTTCTCACTAATTCACTTAATTCTCGTTATTAATTTGTACACTTTTTTTTTTTAAAAAGTTAAAATTCTTAGTCATCTAAAATATCTAAACATTGTGTAGTATTAAGGTAGTAAAATAGTAAGCAATCTAATTGATTATTACATGTCATATGTTCATGATAAATATTTTTCTTATAGAACTGCAACATAACCTAATAATTAGTTTTAATATATTTATGTTTGTGTTTTTAGGTTGAAATTCAAATTTGACATGAGGTATGAACATTTGTTTGAAATTCAACCTTCCAATTTTCATATAGTGTGAAGAAACCACTTAATGATGCAATATTTGGAGAAAAGTTTCATTTTGAATGTTGTTGGTAATGGACTTTTCTATGTTGGTCTTCCTATATTCCTTTGGATCTTTGGTCCTGTTTTACTTTTCCTTTGCTCTCTCATTATGGTTCTTGTGTTTTATAATCTTGATTTTGTGTGTGCAATTAGGAAGTGGAGACAAAATTGTGATTTAGCATGTATCATGCTATTTGTTAATAATAAAATTTGTTTTGTCTTTTTCAAAAAAAAAATATTGAATTGATTTGTGTGAGATGACAAATATATTATACGAAAAAGATTATGTATGCCAATTGGTGTAACTGGTGATAGAGTGAGTTTGAGAATAGTGCAAAGTAGTATAGAAAACATAAAATAATAATAAGAAATAGTATTGATTACCTATAAACATCATGTCATGAGTAGCTTGAAAAAAGGGTGGGTCAATAGGTCAATAGATACCATCATACAAAAAGTAAGGACCATTGGGAATATCATCCGGGCTTTAGATATATAATATCCAATTGATAGAGATATAAATATGACACTGAATCAATATAAACTAAACACAATTTAAAATATTCACGTTGTTGTTAAAAATTAAATCTAAAAGAAGACTTTAGATATATAACATTCAATTGATATAGATATAAAGAATATGAGACCGATTCAATATAAACTAAACACAAATAAGAATATCCACGTTGTTGTTAAAAATTAAATTTAAAAGAAGCATGATAACAATTTTGCAAAACAACATATAAAATTCTTTTATCTTAACCACACATTTTTTCTTAGACCTATATTTTAGAGATTGTCATGTTTATGTGTGTTTTTATATGATAGCTTATGAATCTTTGTTGGAGTAGACTGTGATTTTATTTGATTGGTGTTTTGTTGGGTCTGTTGTTGCAGACCTAATTGTTCGTTTTTGTAGTTTGTTCGTTGTTCCAATTTAGCCTGCAGTTTTTTTCTGGATCCATCACATATAATGCAAAGTTTGGTCTTTAGAATATTTTTGCACTATGTGGGGAAAAATATTTTAAAAGTGTGGTTGTGATAATATAAGAATAAAGGGATACAAATTTAATGGTTGAAGAGAATTATGAAAATGTTGAGGAAATGATGAGTGTCGTGTGACTGTAATTATAATGCTATTTTATAGGATATTTATGGGATGTAACTGAATTTATAGCTAATATTATTGATTTTAATACATATTTGTTGGAAGTAATTATAATGCTACTTTATTGATGTTATTGATTTCATCGCAATTTTATTGGAAGTAATTTTACTTTCATATGAAAAAGTTAGACTTTTTTTTTATTGACGAGTTTTGTTAGTATTAAATTTTAATAGTATTTGATATAATTGAGTATAAAAATTGACTATAATTTTCTATTTTGGTGTTTAAGTTTAAACTTTATATTAGTCTACCATATTGATCTCTTAATATTAGTGTATAATTATATATCATTGTAATCAATTTCTAATATTAGAGTAAATATCTTTAATAGTATTACTTAAATGTTGAACAATTTGCAATGCTATATCCATGTCTGGATAGTTTACTTGAGTCTTTTGAGTGTTGTTAGTTTTTGCTCAATTTACTTTATAGAGAGAGAAGGTTGTTTAATTTTATTATAACTTAACATACTTTTTGTTAAAAAAATTCAATTTTATTTATCAATAAAAATCTAAATATTTTTAAATTAATGATTTGATCTTGTCAAATTCAAATATTTTTATTTCTTAAATTTAAATTTTCCAATTATTTTTTATTCTGC